ATGCCTACATGGGTGTGTCTCCACTGACACCGCCTCCACCACCGCGTTCCTGCCTTCAGGCCTGCTTGCCTGCATCCCTCGCCCACCTCCGCCTCCAGCGGCCACCTCCTCCATCCACGCCGTCCCCTCCGACCTCACGTCCACGCCAGGGCGGGCAGATTCGGCGGCCGGAAGGCCGCGGGTCAGCCCCAGCCTGCATTACAACACCCGGACAGAATGCGTGCCAGTGGTGCCTGTGAGTACTTCCTCGCCGGGCCCCAGGCCCTGGGGCGCGGCGCCTCGGCAGTTCGCCCGTGGGGGCCGCTCCCGAGGCCCACAGAGCCTCCGGGGAGCCCCCAGGGAGCCCCCGAAGGCCCACGCGAGCGCGATCCGAGGAACCCATTCGCCACCGCAGGCCTCCTCCGCCTTGGGCCCAGCGCGGCCCCTGGTGGCTCCCATGAGAGCCCTTCCCACGTCCCAAAAGGCCCCCAAGACCGCCCCGGAGGCCCCCAGGACGAGCCAAGAGACATGGGGCGCGGCGCCTCCGCGGCTCCGCCCGTGAGGGCCGCTCCTGAAGGGAGCCCCCAGGGAGCTCCCCAGAGCCTATGGGGAGCCCCCAGGGAGCCCCAGAAAGCCCACGCGAGCGCGATCCGAGGGACCCAACCCAGCTCCACAGGCCTCCCAGGGGTGCCGCGAGGACGCCGACATACGGATATCTACAGCGTTTGGGGGTGATGTCTCTGCTGCTCGCTTCTGTGGCGCCATGACACCCCATTCGCCACCGCAGGTCTCCGCCTTGGGCCCAGCGCGGCCCCGGTGGCTCCCATGCAAGCTTTCAAGACCGCTCCAGGGCCCCCACGACGAGCCAAGAGACCCTCCAGATGGCCCCCAGGGGACCCGCAAGGGGGACGGAGCCCTTGGCCCCCAAAAGGGGAAACTCCGGAGCCCTTCCGGCCCCATCGGACCCAATGCGGCACCAGAGGCTTCCGAAACGGCCTCGACGCGGCTGCCGCCGCTTCCCAGGACACCTCTGAGACAGTTCCAGACGAGCCCCAAAGGCCTCCAGAGACCTCCAAGGCATTGCAAACCATGGTGACGCCCCCCCCTCTCGCTCCCACGGGCGCATTTCCCCCACGGCTATCGGGCCCCTCAAAAGCCCCAAACGCCTCCCGAAAGGCTCCAAGATGTTGCCCCCGACGTCCTCGCGGGAGCCTCCAAGAACCTTTGGGGCTTCACTGCAGATTGCTACTTCGTTGGCGCCTCGCTGGGGATACCCATGACCCCCACTTCTAAGGACACGTCTCGCGCGGGAAGGGGTTCCACAGGCCTCCGGAGGCGTCCCAGGCTTCAACACATGGGACGCCCTGGGGAACCCCCCAGAGCTCTCTAAAGACATTCCCGAGCAGACCAATGCACCCCAAACAAGCCCCAGACACATTCCGAGCGGTTCCCAGAAGATTCCCCAGATGTCGTCGAGTGAGCCTTACGACCCCCCCGAGCTTCACCGCAGAGTGCTACTTCGTGGACGACCCTCCTGATTCGAAAAAACCATACCCCACACCTCCTGGGACGCGTCTCACGCGGGAGGGGTTCCACAAACAGCCTAGGCTACGAGTCGGCAAACGTTCAGGACGGTTTTTCAGCAACCCATCTCGCACGGCGCGTGTCCCAGGACGTGTGGGGTATGTTTTTTTCCATATGGGGGCCCCCTCCTCCCCCTCAAAATTGACTGCCGCACGGAGGGGGCGACGACGAAAGAAGGACCCGCGCAAAACGGAGCGGCAGGCGAGGAGGCGGAGCAGTATTAGGCCGCCTGCCTCTCGCTGTTCGTCACCACCGCCTGCGTCGTGCTCAACACGCGCTTCGTGCAGGCCATCCCTCTTCCTCCCCGCCTCGCCCTTCAACTTTTTTCCTCCGCGGAACAATGCGTGCGAGAAGGGTTTCTTGACAGAGCTCCTTCCGGAAGGTCCGAGCCGCTCAAAGAGGCGCCCCGACGGCCCCACGACAGTTCCGAGACGCTCCAGAGGCCACCCCGACAGCCCAAAGACCGCTCCGAACTGGTCAAGAGGGCGCCCCGACGACCCCTAGACGGCTCCGAGCTGCTCGAGAAGGCACCCCGACGGCCTCAGGGGCGTTCCGAGCCGCTCAAGAGGCCGTTCCGACGGCCCCATGGGCCCCAAGGGCAGGCCAGGAGCTTCCAAAGACAGCCCTCGAGGATTCCCCAGGACAAGCCCCAAAGTGCAAAAATCGCCCCATTCCCTTCGCAAAACTCACATGTGTTGTTTTCTCTTGCTTTTCGGCGCCGACGCGCCCACGACGGCCACAGAGCTCCCCACGATCGTCTTAAGATGCCCCCATCAGGGCCCCAGGACGGGCCCAGGGCGGCCCAAGAGGCGCCCAAGACGGCCCAAGAAGCACCCAAGACAGCCCCAAAGACGGCCTGAACACGGCCCAATACACGCCCAAGGCGGCCCGCGATGGCCACGAGACGGCCCAGAAGGCACCCAAGACAGCCCCAAGAGCCGCCCAAGACGGTCCAAGACGGCCCCCAGACGGCCCAGAAGGCGCCCAAGACGGTTCCGAGACGGCCCAAACAGCACCGACGAGACGCGGCGCCAAGACGGCCCGAGAAGAGCCCAAACGGCCCAAAAGGGCCCCAACAGGCCCTTAAGAGGCCCACAGGAAGACCTGAGACGCCTTCAACCCCCCAAGAGGCCCAAAGAGGCTTCAAAACTGCCTCCAAGAGAGGGGGCCTGGCGCTCCTGACACGCCCGAGAGAGCTGCGCCTTCAACAGAGCTCCAACAGAACGCCCACCCAGACACACACACACACACACACACACACACACACACACACACACACACACACACACACACACACACACACACACACACACCACACACACACACACACACACACACACACGCACGCACGCACGCACGCACGCACGCACACACACACACACACACACGCACACACACACACACACACACACACACACACACACACACACACACACGCACGCACGCACGCACGCACGCACGCACGCACGCACGCACGCACGCACGCACGCACGCACGCACGCACGCACGCACGCACACACACACACACACACACACACACACACACACACACACACACACACGTAGCGGAGCACGTCCGACCCAACGGCGATTTCTGTTAAGATCTGATTACCTGACACACCCTCTTGAAGCTCTCTTGAGCCCTCCCTGGAGGTGCTTGCGAGCCTCCCCGACCCTCCTGCTGACTTTCCCCGAGGGCCTCCCGAGCCCTTACCCAGTCGCTCCTGAGACGCCTCAGATGGGCTACGACTTTGACGCGCATCCCCGAGAGACTTCAAAGCTGCCCTCGTAGGAGGGGGGCGAACGAGCCGCGCGCCGGGGCCAAGATGCTGGAGAGCTGCAAGAGCTCGGACACGAAGGCGCGGTCTCGCTGCCACCGCCCCGGTCGCCGCCGCGCTTACAGGTTTTCGGCAAAATACCAGCCGTTCCTCCCAGAACCATTCCAGACAGATGTCAGGGGACGTAGTCCAAGGGTCAGCCTCAGTCAGCTACAATGCTGGGATCAGCTCGTGCGAGAAGGGCGAGCAGTGGCAGCGGGCGCTGGCGCTGCTGAACCAGATGCAGGAGGCGAAGCTGGAGCCCAGCGTCGTCTCTACTACATTGCAGGGCCCAGTGCGTGCCAGAAGGGCGCAGGCCCCAATGCACCGAAACCGCCCCGGGCTGGCCCCGGGCCGCCCCGGGCCGCCCAGGCAGGCTCCAGGACACGCCGAGGGGGCCCCCAGAAGCCCCCAAGACGGCCCCGGAGAGCCCCGGCACGCTTAAAGATGGGCCCAAGACGCCCGAGATTCGCCCCAGACGGCCCAAGAGGCGTCCAAGACGCCCGAAGAGGCCTCCCAAGAGGCCTCCCAAGAGGGCCCCGAGCGACAGAAATCGTCGATTTCTATTGTGTTTTTCTATGTTTTCGGCCTCCTCGCCTCTTCGGCTTCCCGACGCTCCAAGACGGCCCAAGAAATCCCCCAGACCGCTCCAAGACGGCCGAAGAGGACCCCAAGAGAGCCCCAAGACGGGCCAGGAGGGCCCCAAGACGGTCCCAAGACGCGCCAGGACGGCCCTAGGACGGCCCAGGAGGCGCCCAAGACGGCCCAAGAGGCACCCAAGACGGCCCCAGGAGCGGCCCAAGACGGCCCAAGACAGCCCAAGAGGCGCCGAGGCGGGCCTCAGACGGCCCCAAGACGGCCCAAGAGGCACCCAAGACGGCCCGAGAGGGCCCTAAGAGCCCCCCCGGGAGGCCCAAAAGAAGGCCGAAGAGGCTCCGAAACGGCCCCCACGAAGCCTTCAGTGGCTTCAGAATTCCCTCCAGGAGCGGGGGAGCGGACGAGAGGCGACAGGCATATCGCAGGCAAAAACGCCCCAAGAGATCCCCAAACGGCCCCCACGAAGCCCTAAGTGGCCTCAGAATTGCTTCCAGGAGGGGGGGAGCGGACGAGAGGCGACCGGCATATCGAAGGCACAAAAGAACAATGTTGGACGCTCCGAGGGCCTTCGATGTTTCTCTGTTGGGGAGAGTCGTCGTAGGATCGACGATTGCCGACCGAGGGCATGGAGAATCGAGCGAAAGAGGAGGAGAAGGTGGACGAGGAGGAGGCGGCGGAGGAGGAGGAGGAGGAGGAGGCGGAGGAGGAGGAGGAGGAGGGGGAGGAAGCAGCAGGACCTCCGAGCAGCAGCAGCAGCTGAGGAACACAGGAGAGCAGGAGGTCCTGGAGGGTGTGGAGAGTGCCTTCAACTGGCCATCGTGGTCAAGGACGCGAACTGCGTCGGGCCCTGCAGCCGCACCCCCCCGCGCTTGCCCAGAGACCCCTCGCCACGTCGAGCTGATGTCGTGGACGGAGTCCACAGGTCTGCCCTAGTCAGCTACAATGCTGGGATCAGCGCGTGCGAGAAGGGCGAGCATTGGCAGTGGGCGCGGACGCTGCTGAGCGAGATGCGGGCGGTGAAGCTGGAGCCCGACGTCATCAGCTACGATGCGGGGATCAGCGCTTGCGAGAAGGGCGAGCAGTGGCAGCGGGCTCTGGAGCTTCTCGGCGAGATGCAGGAGGTGAAGCTTGAGCCGAGCGTCATCAGCTACAACGCTGAGATCGTCGCGTGTGGAAGGTGCGGTCAGTGGCGGCAGGCGTTGTCGCTGCTCGGCGAGATGCGGAATAGCTATTTGGAGCCGAACGAAAACAGCTACAATCTGGGCATCACAGCGTACGAGAGGTCGTCTCGCCACTTGGTAGGATTCCCTGGCCATCTTCAGGTCGGTTTTTCGCGCTTTCGAGCATCTTGAGAAACACTGCGTGTGCGTGGGAACCTTCTGGGCAACCACTGCGACTATATTGACGGACATCAGTGTTTTGAACTTGGCAGGGGCATTCCATCGTGCATGAAACCGCTGGGAATACCATTACATGGGCCCGCCTTGGTTAGCCACAACCATGGGATCAGCACGTGTGAGAATGGCGATCAATGAAACCGTGCCGTGCCGTAGTTCAGCCGGATGTTGGCTGTGAAGTTGGAGCCCAATGTCGCAGGTTGTTCGGCGAGTTGTGTGATGCGAAGTCGGAGCCCAGAGCCAAGTTCTGCGAAGGGCGAGCGGTGGCAGCGTGCGCGGGCGCTGCTGAGCGAGATGCGGGAGGCGGAGCTGGAGCCCAATGTCGTCTCTCCTACAATACTGGGAACAGTGCGTGCGAGAAGGGTTTCTGGACATAGTGGCTTCCGGCGGCTCCGAGCCGCTAGAGAGCGCGCCCCAGCGGCCCCACGACGGTTCCAAGACGCTCCAGAGGCCGCCTTGGCGGCCAACAGACGGCTCCGAACCGCTCAAGAGGGCGCCCCCACGACCCCAAGAGGGCGCCAAGCCGCTCCAGAGGCCACCCCGACGGCCCCGGGGGCGCTCCGAGCAGCTCAAGAGGCCGCTTCGAAGCCCCAAGGGCCCCCCAGGCACGCCAAGAGCCGGAAGACGGCGAACGAGGATTCCCCAGGACAGCCCGTAGACGCAAACATCGTTTCATCGCCTCGACAAGACTCACATGTTTGGCATTCTCGTGCTTTTCGTCTCCGACGCGTCCACGTCCACGTCCCCCCACGATCGTCTTAAGATACCCCCATCAGGGCCCCAAGACGGGCCCAGGACGCCCACGAGGCGCCCAAGACGGCCCAAGATGCACCAAAAACAGCCCCAAAGACGGCCCAAGACGGCCCGAACACGGCCCAATAGGTGCCCAAGACGGTCCAAGACGGCCCCCAGGCGGCCCAAAAGGCGCCCAAGACGGTTCCGAGACGGCCCGAACGGCGCCGACGAGCCGAAATCACTGCCTGCGAGAAGGACGGGGCGTGGCAGCATGCGTTGTGGCTTCTCGACAAGCTGCTGCAGGCGACGATGGAGCTCACTGTGGCCGCCCGCAGCGCTACATTCCGAGCCTTGGTCGAAGGTATCAGGCGGCAAGCCGCGGCATGCCGACCTCGTTAAGCACGACCCTGCAGCGTTTCATCCCATAGGAAAAATCGCCCAATACGGCCCAACGGAGTCCCAAGGCGGCCCAAAAACGGCCACAAGATGGCCCAGGAGTGCCCCACGGCGGCTCAAGGGAGCCCCACGATTGCCCAAGAGGGCTCCAAGAGGCTTCACAAAGTACTCCAAGTGAAGCGAGATGGCCAGAGTAGGCCCCCAGGAAGCCCATAAGAGGTGTTCGAGAGGTCGAGGAGAGGAGTCAACGGGTCAGCCCTATCAGCTACAACGCTGGGATCAGCGCGTGCGATAAAGGCAAGCAGTGGCAGCGGGCCCTGTTGCTGCTCAGCGAGATACGGGAAGGCAAGCTGGAGCCCACGATCATCAGCTACAGAGCTGGAATCAACGCGTGTAGGAACGGGAAACAGTGGCAGCGGGCCTTATCGCTGCTCGTTAAGGCGTTTGAGGTGAAAGTGGAGCCCGACTTCTATTTTCACGAAGCCGCAATCATTGCCTGCGAGAAGGACGGGGCATGGCAGCATGCGCTATGGCTTCTCTGCAAGCTGCTGCAGGCGAGGATGGAGCCCACTGTGGCCGCCCGCAGCGCTACAGTCCGAGCATTGGTCGAGGGCATCAGGCGGCAAGCCGCCGGATGCCGACCTTTTTAAGCACGACCCCGCAACGTCTCATCTCATAGGAAAAATCGCCCAAAACGGCCCAACAGAGTCCCAAAACGGCCACAAGATTGCCCAGGAGTGCCCCATGGCGGCTCAAGGGAGCCCCACGACAGCCCAAGAGGGCTCCAAGAGGTTTCACGAAGTAATCCAAGTGCAGCAAGATTGCCACAGTAGGCCCTCAGGGGCCCTCAAGATGGCCTCTGGGAGCCCAGAGAGGCCCCCAACAAGCCCACAAGAGGTTTTCGAGAGGCCCCCAAAAGGTTCCCCATAAGATAGCAAGATGCTTCGAACAGGCGTCAAATCGACAACGCGGCACGTTGCCCGGCTGCCTGCTCTTTCTTGACTGCGCCGGGCCGACGGAGCGCGTGGGCGCGACTCGATAGTTCTGGCGTCCTCTAGTTCTCTCTCTCTCTCTCTCTCTTTCTCTCTCTCTCTCGCTTTCTCTTGTTTCTCTCTCTCTCTCTCTCTCTCTCTTTCTCTCTTTCTCTCTTTCTCTTTCTTTTTTTCTCTCTCTCTCTCTCTCTCTCTCTCTCTCTCTCTCCTTGTACTCCCCAGCCCTTCTTCCTTCTCTTCCTCCTCTTCCTCGCCCTCCTCCTCCTCCTCCTCCTCCTCCTCCTCCTCTCGCCTGCCCCGTCTCCTATCCTGCGCCTCCTCTTCATCCTCCTCCCTCCTGCTCCTGCTCCCTCATCCTCTGGGAGGGGCCTTTGGGCCGGTCTGGGCTGAACTTGCTTGTGCTTATCTGTCGGCCTATGTTCTAACCAATTCATGTGCCGTGTAGTCGCCTTCACCTATTCGGGCCGCTCCCGTCTCCACGGATTCAGTTGCAGTTGATGGACGTGGGACCACTCCTCCTCATCCTCCTCATCCTCCCTCCTACTCTTATGTTCCCTTTCCTTCCTCCTTCTTCTCCCCCTCTTTCTCCACCTCCTCCGCATCATCATCATCATCATCATCATCATCATCATCATCGTCATCATCAGCTTCATCATCCTCTTTCCCTCCTCCTTTTCCTCCTCCTCCCCCTCCTCCTCCTTCTCCATTTGTCTCTCCTCTTTTGCTCCTCCGCCTGTTCTTACGACCACCACTATCACCACCACCAGAATAATCATCATCATCATCATCATCATCATCATCATCAGCATCACCATCAGCAGCACCAGCACCATCATCATCATCAGCAGCAACAGCATCCGTAGCCATTTTGGCTCAAACTGTTTCTTCACATCTCTCGCAGGCGCCCACGCGAAGCGGTCAGCGGCGCGCGATTGGGAGATGAGCAATGGCGACGGGGGGCTGCCCGCTGGCGCGAGGGCGGGGCGCCAATCAGGCGCGGCAGTGCGCTGCGCAGGAAGGAGGAGGACGAGGTTGGCGCTTCGGCGGCCCGCCCACGATCGCGGGCAAGGCGCCTCTTTGCTGCCGTGGCGGCGGCTGGCAAGGCGGCCAGCGGCGGTCCAGGTTCCTGGCAGGACCGTGAGACTGCGGCGCGCCCTGCCGTGCGCTTGGCCGCCTCGGGATGCCGTTTCCGACGCGCGACGCGGCGGCGGCGGAACGCCGCGTGGCACGCGCTGCTGGCCCCTGTGGGCGGATTCGCGCGCGCGTCCGCAGAGGGCATCTCGCGGGCCGCGGCAGGCCCCCGCCTGGGACGGCAGCACGCGAACCCCGCGGTGATCGGCGAGGCGCCCGGCCACGCGCAGGACGGGATCGTCGAAGAGCACGTCGACGACGAAGAACCGGACGACCCCCTCCAAGCGAGGATGGCCGCCGCGCGCACGGTTCTCTTGGCGGCGGGGTTCGTCGCGCAGCTGCAGGCCTTGCGCGAGCAGTCGCGCCCGCAGCGGCGCGCCGCCTGTCCACCAAGCCTCCACCCCCACGCTGGCGGTCATCAGCGAGGATGTCGGCGAGACCGTGGACGAGGAGCTCGGGCCTACGGAAGAGGAGGAGGATGCGCTGTGCGCTGCGTTCCTTGGCGGCGACGCGCACGCCGACACGGGCCCGGAGCTGGCAGGGGGGCCCGTGCCAGCAGCCGCCAGCCCCGACGGCGTCCCCCCGCTCGCCGAGGCCGCGACGGAGCTCGTGTCGCACGAGGGTTTGATGGCGTACAGGACGTGGGTGAGCCTCCCCATGGGCGCCTTCAGGGACCTGTGCCAGGCGCGGGCGGCCTTCGGGAGGTCGCCGACGCCATTTGCGCGGCGGCGAGCTCAGATCACGGCCGTCGGCCGCGACGAGTTCGACGACGAGGCGCTGCTGGCGGGGCTGGGCTTCGTCGTGGAAGGGCGCGTGGAGATCGGCCCTTTCTTTGAGCCGAGTGCGGCCAGCCAAACGGCGCCGCGCGGCCCAGTGGCGTCGTTCCGTTCACCAGGCGGGTCCGAGGTCAAGAATGCGCGCGGCGAGCGCGCTGGCCCTCTGTTGGGCTCGGCGCGGCACTTTGCATTCAATGAAGCCGTGGCACAATGCGGCTCGGGACCCTAGGTCTGCCGAGCGCGGCGCCGTGCGCTCGCTGCGCCAGGCGGGTCTGAGGATCGAGGACGCCTGTGACGAGCGTGCGAGCCCCGCTTGGGCTCGCGGCGCAGCGCCGCCCGTTCGCCCCTGCAGCGCGCGCGGCGACGTTCCGCTCGCGGCGCCAGGCGGGCCCGAGGATCACGAATGCCTGCGACGAGCGTCTGGCCCTCGGAGGGGGGAGGGGCCCCGCGGCGTAGTCTGCGCCCCGCAGGGCTCGGCGCACGCCAGGGTTCACACCCCCCCGCCCCTCTCGGGCTTGCTGTGCTCGCGACGCCAGGCGGGTCCGAGGATCACGAACGCCTGCAAAGAGCGTCTGGCCCATGGATGGGGGGAGGGGCAACGCGGCGCAGGCTGCACCCCGCGGGGATCGGCACACGCCTGGGCCCATTCCCTCCCGCCCCTCTCGGGCCCGCTGCATTGCTCTGCAGCATGCTGCATGCCAGCCCGCCTTTCGTGCACGCGCTTCTGCGGAGGGCTGAGTCTCTGTCTGCCTGGATATGTCGATCGTCTGCTTCGGCCGAGGCGGTCGACAGCTCTGGGCGCTCGCGAGAATCTGCGCGCGCGCGCGCGCCGGGGCGCGCGAGACTGGGCGCGGCCTCCGCAGGGCCAAAGAGAAACGCCTCGGTCCGAGGGGCACCACGAGCTAGGAGCTCCTGACCCCCTCAGCCGCGGGGATCATCACCAGCAGCATCACGAGCCATTTTGGCTCAAGGTCGAGACAGCGGCCCGCGAGGACGGGTAAACTGAAGTTCTCGCGAGCAGATTTGCCCTTCCCTCGGGGCGCGCCGGATGGCCCTTGCGCGCCGGGGCGCGCGAGGACATGCACTGGTCGCGCTCGCTGGGGCGGGCGCCGCTCTGCCTGGCGGGCCCCCCAGGCCGCCCAGGGCCCGCGACTCTGCAAAGCGACAGCGGAGGCGGGCGCCGCGGGCGCAGTTGCGGCCTCTGCGCCCGCCGAGGCGGCTGCCACGTGGACGGACGAGTCCGTCCAGAGCAACGGGGAGGCTTTGTGCCTCTCGCGGTGGAAGGCCCCCGTCGGCGCCACCTGCCTCGCCGTCTTCATTGTCATCGCGAACCTCCTGGCGGCATGCTGCCACTGCTGCGGCCACGCGCCCCCCGGCTTCTTCGGAGAGGGCCCGGGCGGACCGGCGCGCGCCAGCGCCGCGGGAGAAGGCCGCCCACCTCACGCTGATCGCCGACTGCGTCGAGGCCGGTGGACCCGCTGCGATCGAAGAAGCCGCCCGGCGCTTCGGGGCCCCGACGGCTGCGATCCGTTCTTGGCCGGTTCATTGGCGCGCGGCTCACCGCGGGCCGCGCCAGCGAGCTGGGCAGCAAGGCGGGCGCAACCTCCATTGGAGGCCAGGTGCGGACTGGCCTCGGCCCCAAGCCATCATCGGGGCCTGGCCCTCCATCGAGGCAGCCTTCGACGCCCTGTGCGGCCCCGTTCCTGCTGGAGCGGCGGGCGCGGCGGCCGCGGGCGCCGTCGCCGACGACCCCGCGGAAGCAGGGGGCGAGACGGACGAGGTCGCGGGGGGGGGGCGACTTCACGTCGGCGATTCGCAGCTCGCCGGCCACCCCCAGAGGAGCCGCTGGGACAGCGGCAGGCGAGGCCCCCAGGGCTGCTTCGGCAGCCGAGCCCGCCGCGTCGGCCACGCGGCAGGGACAGGGGGCGAACGCTGCTGGAAGTGGCGATCTCGCAGAAGACCGAGGCGGAGGTGGAGGTGGAGGAGGAGCAGGAGGAAGAGGAGGAGGGGGCGCAGGGGGCGGAGGAGCAGCAGGATCCGACAGGGAACATGGAGGCGGCGGCGCCCAAGCCCACTGTCGTTGCGACGGCGGCCCATCGGCCAAGAGACCAGGACAGGAGGCGGGCGCCGCTGGAAGAGATCTAGAAGAAAACCGAGGAGGCGTAGGAGTTGGAGGAGAAGGAGGAGGAGGAGGCGCAGGAGGTGAAGGAGCAGCAGGGGCCGTGAGAGGAAATGGAGGAGATGGCGTCGAAGTCCACACTGGCCCCTGCGGCGGCGCACCAGCCGCGCGGCCAGAACAGGGGGCGGACGCTGCTGGAAGAGAAGGTGGCCAAGCAGCAGGGGCCGACAAAGGAGACGGCGGCGGTGGAGGCGACGTCGAAGTCCACGTTGGCCGCTGACGGAGGGGCCGGAGGTCTCGCGCCTCACCCCGAGTTGCTTGTTCTGCGGACGGGGCTCGAGGACCGCACACAGCAGCTCGCGCCCCCCCTCGAGCCGCGGGCCGCCCCCGCCGCCGGCAGCGGGGACGGAGTGAGCAGCCTTGTCGTCGCGGAGGGCGTGGACGCCGATTGGCGCCGGGAACCGCGCCTAGGAGTGGCCCTGGCGACCCTTCCAGGGGGCTCGCTCGCAGTCGCGCCCACGCCAACAGCCCGGGACCACGACTTCGCCTGTCGTAGGGCGACTCGCCCGAGGAGTCGCGGCCACTGCGAGGCGACGGCCAACAGGAAAAAGCGGGACCAAACTTGCAGGCAGCGCGGCATGTTCTCATGTTCCGCAGCGCGCACGCGAGCACTATGCCCCC